GTTCTATTTAGCTCAAACCAGGACACCTGGTTAGGACTTGATGGTTCAGTAGGAGGCTTGAGATACACTTCTGAATGTGCCCAGATCTTTCTGAATAAATCACTGTTCTCTAATCTTATCCTGACTAGAACCCAGAAACCCAAAGGTTTTGAGCTGAGAGCTGTTTTGCAGCATCCCCAGTATGTGATCAGTATGATTACGTACCCCAGTATGTAATTCTTTTTTCTTTTCTTACACAGAAAACTGTAGTTTTCTGGAGGGTTAAAAGAGGAGCATTATCTTCTTGGAGATACAGCAGCAAGCACTTTAATTTTGAAGGACTGGACTTCTTGATAATCTGTGTGGTCACTTATTATTTAGAGTTATATATATATGGTATATAATCAGAGAGAGTAAGATGTAGACTGCATGCATTTTAAAACAGATGCAAAACACAATTTATTTTCATCTGATGAAGTACTTACTATATAGAACAGACTACTTTCCAATGAAGAACAGTGATAAGAATTTCAAGCACTTCATGTCTGTGGGTATTTCTATTGGGAATTTTGGCATTGTGTGTAATCAAATTAGGAGAATAATTATAAAATCTGTTATCGAGTGAAATCTCTAGTAATAAAAAAATGGAGAGGGTCCATAGTGTTTTTTTCAAATTACAATACTGTATTAATGGAAGTGCCAAGATATATCCAAAACTGAAATTTTATTTTAAGAGCTATACAAAAATATTCTTTTCAGATTCTTGTTTTTTAATAGTCAACACTACTGGTTTTAGTACAGAGTTCTTTATTACAGATTACAGGTGTGTGATAATGATAAGGGAAAAATATAAAGTTGAATGTGAGTAAAATAAATGTGATTATTAAAAGAACATAGGATTAATATCAGAAATCAATAAGATATTTAGATTTAGCAATCCAAAAATATATCTGGTACAGCTACTTGTATTTAAGAGCTTCATAATTTAATGCTTTATGCCTTTGTCTTGATTAGTTTTTTTTCTTTCTGCCTTCATTACAGCTGTGATATTATCCTGATAACAGTTGCTGGGATGAAACTCCTCCGCTCGTCATTCTGTAATCCTATTAATCAATTTGTTACTTTGAGCTTTACTGTAATATTCTTCCGATTTGACTATAGAGATATTTCAGAAAATTTCTTGCTGGATTTCTTCATGATGTCCATCGTGTTTCATAAGGCAAGTTTTATAGCTCCTGTCATTTATTTGGAAAATATATTTCATAGCCTTATTTATCTTATCAGGGTCACTGTGCAGATCAATATGTTGTAAGATTTTTTTAGAAGTAATGAATACATATATAGACACAGATTATTGGTACTGTAGAGAAAAAAAATCTGTAAGCTGAAAACAGGGTTCCAGTTAAATACCTTCTCTGGTTTTGTGCAATGTTTTGCATTTACTTTTTATTCACATGTTGCTATAGAAAGTTCAGAACTGTTTTCAAGAGGAGAACCCTCAATGACTTGGAAAGAGCCTCTTGGATCATTAGTGCAGTGCTGCCTTTGCGATCAATCGCCTGGTGTTTTTATCTAGGTTTCCTTTGAATGCCTCTAGTGTTTGGCTCAACAACTTCCTTTGGGAACTTATTCCATTATCTAATCATCCACATGATAATAAATGTTTTCCTAATGTCAGCCTTAACATTTTTCTTTTCCTATTTTCAGTCTGTTATCCTTGTGATGCTGCCCTTAACCTTAACCTCAGAGCTCCTTCCTCTCTTTTACATTGTTAACTCTTGGAATGTGCTTTCGTTGAATTTACTTTTAAAAAAATAACATTTCTGAATTAGTCAGATCAGTCCTTGGTTTGCCATCTATGCTGTTTCACTGAAAGAAGCAGGTTTAACTGATAGCTGATAAAACATGAGAAAGTATTGAAGACTTGCCTAAAGCTTTTACAGATGGAGTTTTAGCATTGATCTGCTATATTCTTTGTATCTGGTAATATCTGAATTTTTGCAGGTCATTAGTTCATCAACTGGACTTGCCCTTGTTCCATTTAAAAAAAATTGAAATTAAATGGTTGAATTATTTCTATTACAAAAGCACATGCACAGTTACACAATGATCATTGAAGCCAATCTGAAAAATAGTGTTGCAGATGATAGCAATTAAAGTCCTATTAATTTCAAATCATAAAGAGAGCAAGTTTTCTTTACCCTAATTAAGGCCTGAGCTTTTATTTGCTCAGTATCGTGAAACTTTAGTAAAGGATATGGTCACTTGAGAATAAAGCTGTGTGTTGATTTCATACTATAGGCCCTAAGAAAGCTGCATCCTGTTCCTAAAGGCTTTATGGGTCTTCACAGCTTCTGCCTGTCTGTGGTTGAGTCATTTTTATGTTTGCAACTATTTTTAAAAAGAAAAACAAAATTTGAAGTAGTTTCTAATACCATCACCTTTGGATATGTTGAATTTACTACACAGTCATGGCTGATTTCTTCTTGCTCGTTGAAAGTGTCAACTTACCACCATCTGAATTAGGGAACACTAGAGATGCTGTGCCTTAGTGATGGTAATTTTTAAGCATGGTTACCCCACAAAAAGATTTCCATACTTTCAAAACACTGTGGTAGTAAGCATTTCTTTTCTTCTGCCCAGCACTGGAGAAGGCGACATCTAAATTCAGCAGACATTCACAACTGCACTAGTGACTCTTGAAGCAGATTATGTTGAATAAAACTTTGCTAATAATGTTGGGTAGAGTATTTCCGAATATCTCACTGATTGTGCTCATTTCCCCCGTTGTGCTGTTGATTTAATGTAATTTAGTCAAATCAAGCTCCAAATAAGCATATTGCTCCCTGAGCAAGTTGAGGCATGGAAGTCCGAATCTCTGCTCACAGATTTTTATCTCTGTTTGGAAATAGCCAAGCCACCCACACTGGGGTAACACAAAGAACAAGAGAGTCAATTCAGTTCTGTTCCTGAGTATTTTTTTTTTAAATCAACCTGAACTTTTTGGTCTTTTTAACATCATAAGACTTATTTATGTGACACGGTTAATTCACTTCTTTTTAAAAAATCAGCATCTGCTTACATTTTGACAAGTTGTGGAATGTGAAAACTTAATGCTAGAAGTTGATTAAGTGTATGCAGAGTGTGCTGTTTTGTCTTTCAAATAGCCTTGGGAAGCGAGCAAGATAAGCATTTAGGAAGGGCTTTCTTATATATTTTTATGAATGATTGCAGATTTGAATTCAAGTGGAACAGAATTTTTCCATCTTTCTTAAACTAAGACTTTCCATGTAGCCAGCCCAGCTTGTCTCCTTGGCTATAGCCTGGGATTCTTCTGTCCCAAACTCCCATTGTCTGTATTCTTTGAATCAGAACTGAGTGGCCTTTTAAAACTATATGATTGCTCATTCAAAAATTATGGGTGAAATGCTTTACAGGAAGTCAAACCGGTTAATCAGGACAGTCTTCTTTGTCTACATAACTCCATGTAAACTTTTCAAATGAGCCAGTTTTTCTCTGGACTTTTTAGGAGATGGTGGCAGTTCAGAGGTTAATAAGAATGTTCATATTTGTTGAAAATGGAAACCCATGAAAACCTGAGAATACATTCTTCATAGGCACAGCGAAGACGCAATATATAACGGAGCTTAGGAGATTTCTTCCTAGACTCCTGACAGTAAGAAAAACTCTAAGAGATTTTCTGTAATAGGATAAAAAATGTGAGTATATTAACCATTTGGAAAATATTAAAAGATGGACCTTCTTCCACCCTTCCAATGTCTACTGACTTTATACTTAATCAGGAGACACAAACACACACAACATATACCTGAGAGGTAGAGCATGTTAGTGGTTAAGTGCATGTCATAGCTCATCTAGTCCATCTTTCTTCAGTGCAATTTAAAAAGGGGGTGGAAATAAAATAATAATAATAAAAAATTCACCCAGCACTGCCCTTCTTGGCAGATGCATGAGCTGCTTTTAAAGGATGTCTGGAATGACAACTGTTTAAATCAAGAATAAACAGATATTGTTAAGTGTGAAGTAGAAACTAAATACAAATCATTCAAACGGTGAAGATGTCGGTTTGGAACTGGCTAACAAAGATGCTCAGGGCAAGGCTTGTCCCCAGCTCTTGTTCTATGTTCTCTTAAAGGTGTGGCTGGCATTTCATCCAGTGCTACGGACATCCTCTAAATCTTGCAGGTGGAGAAGGGGTCATAGTGTCTCCCTGAACTGCTTTTGGAACCTCAAGTGGTGCTGATGTTGAGGTGAAGGAGCAGACAGCAAAAAGACTTGGTAGTGTGGATGCTTCTGTCTGCAGTGTGCTCTTGGCTACTACAAAAAAACCTGGTGCTTTCTTTTTGTCAGTCTGTTCACTGCTGGGAGCAACCAGCACAGTGTTGGAAATTGCTGTATGTCATACTGTGGTAAACTGGTTCTTTTACCAGCAACTCTTTCAACTGAGAAGTGATACCTGGCTTTGGAATATGCATTTTTGCCAAACCTGTGTAGCTTCCTTTAAGCCCTGAAGAAAGAGCTGCCCCTGGTTTACACGCTCATCTACTGCACAGATCCTGATGGGAATTATAAGACCCAGTGTCATTAACCCTCTAATGTATAGGACTACAACTTCTTATCTCTTTCAGTGCCTTCTACGTTACTGGTAGGCAGTTTAATGGCCTCTTAATTTGTGTGTGTGGATGAACTAATTAGCAATACTAAAATATGAAATCACCTTATATTTTCTTATAGTCAAGTCCTCTGAGGGTTCTGAATTTGTCTTCATGCATAAGGCAAAATAATCAAAGAACCAGAGCTTGTTAAATTTGCCTTCATTAACACTGAATTCATTTGCCTAAGTACTCTTACCCCTGCTGAGCTCACTTAAGAATACAATTTCCCTGTCTGATAATTTTTCTTCTTTCCCAGAATACATTTTCCAGTTAATAAGGAATCTGCATTTTTTTATTTTTATAAGAATTTTTCTCTTTCTGTATATTTATTTCGGTCATAATATTCAATGTCACACATTTATGAAAGAAGATCTTTATGTGAAAGTAACTCCAGCTAAGACAGCCAGTTTGTAACAACCTGCCATACCCGGGCGGATCAGGCTTAACTTTCAACATCCGCAATCCTTTGGGAAGGAAAGAAATGCGCGTCATCTTATTTTCCTTCATTTTATGAGGAAGTGCTACTAATTGCATTGACCTTCTCGGTGCTTTGTTGAAGTCAAGTAATTAACCTGTTGGATCTCTTTATTGCCTTTGTGGCAATAAAACTCTTGGTTAGTTGGCATGTCCCATTGATTGATTTAGGTGCTACTTATAAGTCAAAAGCCTCACTATTTTTCCTGTCCCCTTCTGATTTGTCATCCCTCTCCAAATCTGATGTTTCACTTCAAAGCCTCTGGCACTTAGTCGTTAATTCATATTTTAATCCATTTCTTGCCATTCGGGCATACTGAAATCCAATGTCTTAATCAGCTGCACCTTCTTGACTCATAGCTGTTTCCTCAGCTTTTGATATCTGGCATATAAACCCTGTTAAGAGACTTTCTGCTGAGTAAAATACCCAAGGCTACATCTGATATTTGACAGGATAATCCCAGTAGTATTTTGCATAGACTTCTTAACTCTATTGAGCACTGTACACTTCATATTTCATTTTAAGATTGGAGAAATGGTTTAATTGATTTTTCGTTCAGCCTTCCATCACTGACCTCTTTGTCAGACTTCCTGACACTACTCCCAGATTGTATTTTCTCTCTTTTTCATGTTTTTGGCTTTGTTTTCTTTTTCTTTATAATGGGACAAATGTTCTCAGGGGTGCAGGGAGATATACTCCCACTCCTTGGGTTCAGCCTGGTTCAGTACACACTGAGGACGGTGTTCAGGTACTTTCATGCTGACAGGGACATGTTCTGTATCTTTTGATGCAGGCATTGAAAGAGAAATCTTGGGTATCTGGTGCTTCAACACACAACTCTGTGCATTTTTTATGTCCACTTTTAGTAAAGGAGACTTCTGAAAAGGTAGAGTCTCAACAGGAGCCATGGCTATGAAGGCTTCACTGAAGAGGCTGGATCAGTGCAGCTCCTAACTGATTTAGTTTGCCTGGCTCATTGCAAATTAAGCTGATTAGCTCTGATCTTATCCTTTTTGCCCACCTGGCGAGGTATGGGAGATGTTTTTTTACAGTACCACAGGCTTGTTC